ACTGTATTTTACAAAGCCCTAGCCGTAAGTATTAGTTAAAAAAACAATCAATGGCTCTGGCAGAAAATGCAGTATTTACAAGTGTTTGTCCAAATGGAGGTTGGATTTGGGCCAGGTGAAAAGAGAAGAAGAAGAAAGACTGAAATGGACAAGAAAGAACATCTAAAGTTCTTACGCATCTGGTATCTTAAGTCTTAAGAGCCACATGGAACAAGGTGAGACAACTATTTTCAGGACTTTGATGGGCTGGGGAGACAGCTCAGTGGCATAAGCACCTGCCTGACAAAGCACAAGGTCCCCAGTTTGACTCCTGGTCCCCCCTCTCCCCTCAAAAAAGATTTTGAAACCAATGTTTATTATATCCTTAAAGAAAATGTATTGCTGGGTTCCAAAATCCATTTAAGAGTTTAAGGCTCGTATCTTGCATGGAAAATTAAGCAGTTCTTCTGCATCCTACAGGTGCTCCGTCCTTCTGCCCCAAGGAGTGGAAAAGATAAACATTTATACAAATCCATCATCGTGTTCTACCGTTCAGTTCCCAGCCGCTCGTAGGCCATCAATAAGCTAAATGGAAACCTGTGTTCTCTGGCTGAGACACCCGGAGCTTTGCACTTCCTGTGGTTTTTAGCAGAAACTCGAGTTGGTTCACTTTACCAGTTCTGAAGCTGGTCGAGCCCGTTGTGGAGCGGACCCCCGATGCAGGCGACCTGCTGCCGCCGCTGCCAGTCCTGCAGCTCCTCCAGGAGCGTGTTGCTCACCAGCAAGTCCGTCTCGTTCACTATCTGGGTCACTTTACTGAGGGCCTCCTAGAAACACAAGTACCGTCCAAGAGGTCTGTATGAGAAACCACCAGGGTCTAACTTAGAAAACAACTGAAGCTGGGAGAGAAACGCTTGGCTGAAAGTTTGACCAACTAGTTCATCAAGTGTTAGCTTCCGGGCACCAGGGCACCACCTTTCCAGACAGTTAAATGATCACAGTTAGATCATGTCACCAGGAAAGAAGAGTAGCCACTGTTTGTCATTCTCATGTGTTTCAGTGTACATGTATTGAACTGGCGACTCCTGGGACAACACAGAAAGTTGTTGTCACAAGAACATATATTTAGCTGGGCCTGGAGGTACATGCCAGTAGTTCCAGCTACCTGGGAAGCTGAGGCAGGAGGAGTGCAACGTTTGAGGCCAACGTGGGAAATTTAGTGAAATCCTGCCTCAAGATGAAAAAACTAAACAGGACAGAGGATGTACTGTATAACTGCCTGAGTTCAATTGCCAGCATCACTAACAAACACACACAAAAAAACCCTCTAGGATGTTTATAAATATGATTATTTCTTGAAAGGATGTAGACTAACCTTCAAGCCTTTCTGTGATAACTAGGTCTTTATTAGGGTTGGAGAAGCACGCCTTCCAAAGGCCTGAGTCTCTATGCTGACTTTGCCACAGGCCATCTGAACTGAGCAAAGCGCTTCACCTGCTTGGAACTCAGTCCTCTCATCTGTACAGTCTGGTGAATGGATGGATTTCCAGCATTTTTTCTCTCCTTAAAATTTTATTCTTAAAGGAGAATCACACGGCATGCCTAAAATGTGTAGCATGGGCTTATTATGCACACAAGCAATAAGTTTTACCTTGGGTTAACTGCCTGCGAGCTTACCATCTCATGCGTAACGAAGTTTAAAGTTTTGCATTTTCCTAAACACAACTTCCTGAACAAAAGAAATGGAGCTGAACTTTTAAAATGAACTATTGATCATTAGTCATTGGTTAAATATTAACTGCATTTGTTTTTGAAGAGAAGTAGTAAATGGAAGTAAACACACATCCTTTCACAAAAAATATTCCATTATAGTGTGGATAATTGTACTTCCGATTTCTGCTAGTCTTTTGAAAGGAGCTGTTAGTGCTTAAAATTTTTTCCCTTTAGTTCTTTTTTCTTTTTAATTTCTTATAGCTGTTTTTGTTTTGTTTTGTTTTAAAACCAATTTTACACATTTGCATTTGGTAACCTAGACAACTAATTTGAAGATAGCATCATGCAGTACAACTACCATGTTTTTTTCTTCTGTATTTAGGACAGGGTCTACAGGGTCCACAGGGTCTCACTACATAGATCGGACTCATAGTGATCCTCCTGTTTTCAGCCTTCCAAGTGTTGGGATTATAGGCATGCGCCACCATGCCCCGTCTCATTTGCTGTCTCAGAGTGCCCAGGGAGCGGGGCTGGCACGGCACACTGGGGATCGAACCCTGGCTGCTGTCCTCTGCAGCTACCATTGTCGAATTTCTATGACTTTGTTTACTGAAATTTTGTATTGTTCCTAATGCTGTTTTTTTAAAATTACTATTTTGTATTCTTTCAAAAGAAAAATATTCCATTGACCCAGAAAAAAAGCTCTTCTTCCCTTTGAGGAGAGGTGAGACTGAATATGTTCAGTTGTCAGTAAGCTAATTTGAAATCCAGAGAACTGCTTAACACAGTGTCATTTCTCAGAGCAAGAACCACAACTCTTCTGTCCAGACATCAAGGAATTTTTTTGTTACATGTGCACACTGGAACCCATCTCAGTAAATTAATTAAAGCCACTAAAGTAGCTGTGCCTAAAATACTGAAAAAAATTTGGTAAAATCTCCAACTTGAAGTTAACAATAGCTGCAGTAAATATGTCATGCAAGCAAAATAACCAGGCTCCAGGGAGGTGCAGCTCTGAACCACCAAATCGCAAGCACTGTTCCTAGAAACACAGCCTGCTGTTCATTTGGTGGAAGTAGAACTGATAAAATCTAAGAGCACAAGTTTTTTCAGTAGGACTAGCTTTAAGCCAAAGAGAGAAAGAGGCAAGCGGCCAACTGAGTCTTCACCAACCTTTCTCTTGAAGTCCAGGCTGTTGAGCATTTCTTGCAGTGTCAAAACTTCCTGATTCATCAGGGCATTATTCTTGTCTCCCTGATCTGCGAAGGAAGAGACACCAGATTGGGGTTCTCTCTGAGGCACAGCTCTGTATCCCAGAAGCCAACGGGGCCTCAGTCTGCCACTCCAGCCAGCCCGGAGAAGGGCAGAAACTTAGGCTGCCAGAGACTGAACATGGGGTCATGAGAGAGAGCTTGGGAGCCGAGTTCAAGAATGTGCTCCCGAGCCAGGAAGAATTACACCTAAGCCCAACAAACTTGGCCTCCTCATCTCACAGACCTTGGGTTTCTACAGTGTTCACCACTCCATGCTCATTTTTCGCTGGTGGAGAAAGGAGATGGAGACATTTTTATAATGGCTTCTTTACTGAGTACCTCTGGTTAGTATCTTATAGCTGATGTTTGAGTTAGTTAGTTTTTTTCTTCTTGTATTTGTGAGCAGTCCTTAAGATTTTTTAAGTGTGTGTGTGTGTATGTGTGTGTGTGTGTGTTTTTGTGGTACCAGGGATTGAATTCCGGACCTTGCACTTGCCAGGCATGTGCTCACACCACAGCTCCTAGGGTTAGTTTTCTCTAGTTAGTCTAAGAACGAATAAAGACCAAATCTTTAATTTTTCCTTTTGCTCTGCATAATGGGCTAGACTCCCAACAAAGTCAGAAAGGATAGAGTGGCAAATTAACAAAAATATTCAACACAAAACCAAAGCAGTGTATCCCCTCCAACAGTGACGTAATCTACAAACACCACAACTTAAAATGTGAATATTAAGTGTTACTGGCACGCAGCAAGTGCTTGTTTAATATCAGTCATTTATGTCTGTAAAAATATGGACTAGGGATGCTAAGATGACTGGTGGAATTTTGAAAGTGAGGTTCCAGAATAATGCTGTGGTAATTTCTCTACAAAATAGCACTAATCTCCAGGAAGTCCTTTCTGGTTGTAATAAATTACAATTTTGCTGACTTTTAGACCTGAGAGGTAACAAAATCTTACTTACACAGCATTTTAACTAAAAACTTCAGTAGCTAATGCTTTCCTGTGTTCACCATAACTTATTTCCTTGTTATCTTTCATTTTAGTTATAACAGGGTGAGACAAACAATAAATAGTGATTGTTGTAACTGATAAAAATGATCACATTAGTGCTTCACAATGCACAAGAAGCACTGAAAACTACTAAAGATACCCAATAATACATGAAGTTCCAAACAGGTTTATTGTTTAGTGAATTTTGTCATACCATATTCTAATTCTTAATGTGGGTAGCTTGTTGGGAGTGAAGCTGTCTGTACCTCAGTTGTCTAGGACAAGACCACTGCCTCGCAGGAGTGTGGCAGGGCCCCACGAGAAGCCCAGGAGCACGTGCCATAGTGACTTGACCTTCACTTAAGATAATTCAGTTTTCTCTTGTCCCCAAGACTTGCTGTTCTGCTAGTAGGCTATTCTTCCTGTCCCAGGTCCTGCGCGTCCCATGAACTTATTCGCAGGCTGATTGTATAAATAAATGTGCTGCGGGTGCTGGGCAGTTCCTTCTCCCATCAGGGGGAGGGCTGCGCCTGACCCCAGCTTTGTACATGGATTCCTGTCTTCTTCATTCCTCACTGTCCTCCCTCCAGAGTTGTGAGCT